CACTGGCCTTTTACCCAGATCTCACCAAAATGTCCAACTTATGCTATTCTTCCTGCCGTTTGATATCCCAAAGAATCCCATCTGGGCAAAGCAGCCATGCAACCAAAGCTGGTAAAGTTTAGGGGTGCTCTTGAGGCTTGTGTTCAAACAGAGTTCAGGTGAAACAAGTGAAACACACATCAAGTCTTTGCAGAAACAGATCTCCTCAGCTGCAGGAGCTCTAGTCTGGTACTCCTCAATGGGGAATGATTCTCCACTACTAATATCACCATTGCAGCCTAGTGTATTTGGGAATGTCTGTAGACAGCTGGAGACTGGTGGGACATAGCTCACTACAATACACAGACCAGTCCCTCATCCTACAGTGTACAGGACAGCTTCCCACAACAGATGATTATATGGCTCAGAATGTTCAGAGTTGAGCTTTGCAAAACCTACTCTGAACAGATGATCACAGGAGCTTTTAGGTTCTGTCGGGGAGACAGATTAGCCTATTTGGATGGTTTATTCATATCTAGCTTGACAAGTATGACTAAGGAGTTGGAAGACATCTGCCTTGTGAATTCCATTTCAAATACATTCAAATAGTACCAAGGAAAGACAAACAGGATAGCTGTTAAAAGGAGAAAGAAAAGGAAAAAGTAGTGTCGTTGGTACCAAATACCAATGATAAGAACGAACACAATGGCTTTTCCTTAAATTTAAGACAGAAGAGCATGCAACTCTATTCATTCTGAATACTCACCACACTGCAGCAAAGCTCAACGGCCAACATGGTTCCGTGGCTCTACTGACTTCCAAACCTTCTTTTACACTAAGGCGCTGCTATATTATTGTTTGCAAAATAGTTCTATGTAAAAGGAGCTAATGTTCTAATTAAAAAAAAAAAAACCTTGAATCTGTAGTAGTTAACAGGTTGTTCTAAGAATGGAAATGTTATTAATCTTGACAACAGAAAGTCAAATGTGCATTGACATCAATATTTCATGACAAAATCCAATATTGCATGTGAACAATTATATATTCTTGAGTCATGGAAACAAAAGAAATTCTCTTTAGTTACCTTCCCAGAAATCCTTTCATGTTCTTCCAATGAGAGCACAGTGAGGTAACAGTTTGCCCTCCTTAAGGCTTCTCCAGAAAACCTTTAAATGCTCTTGCATTCAATGTGGATGGCAGTCGAACTCTGCCACTCCACTTTAAAGGATGCTCAAGGAAAATTTAAACGCATGCATATGGAGAATAGATAGATGTGTCTCATTGAAGAAATAGATTCTCCTGCCTTTATCAGCAGGCTGCATGGAACCCAGTGTGCTATTTTATCAGAGGAAATGTTCTGGAGAGATGGTTTATATGCATGCTGTTAAAGCAGTTAATTCTCGGAGAAGTATGACTCACTCAACCAAGTGGAGTGAAGTAAGTCAGCCTAGGACAACCCTGTGCTTCAAGGCCCAGCAGCTTTAACAAAAGGAGAGGCATCAACCTCTGTCTTCTGTATGGGGTACTAGGGCACTTATGAAGTTTCTGAAACATCACTTTCAATATTCCCCTTTAAAACGTATCTCTCCCAAGACTGGCACTGTTCCTCATAAGAATATGGTCAGAGATTCTATTGATGGACACTCCATAAACTCTGAAGCAATGCGTATTGATGTTTTAAGAAATGAAAGATTACTTTGATATGTAATATTAAAGCCATACCTATGTATATGCAAATAAATATTCATAATATATAGGTATATATGGATATGTCGATACAGCCTAAAATAGATTATTGGATTGACTTATTCACTCAAGAAAATGAAATTTGTTTGATGTAATGAAGGGCCAATTTCTCTAATCTGATCAGCAAATAGTGAAGGCATGAAATGTCATGCTCTACCCAGCAAATATGCATAGTTCTATGACAATTTCCAAAAATGAATACTTAAGTTTGAATTTAAAAATAAAATTGGAATTATCTCAAGACGTCCTTCAAGACAACTGGCAAGAAAATCACATGCATAACTTAAGTAATAGAAAATATGAAGAAAACTATGCGCATGCAAATTACATGCCAAGCATGCTTACATTGTTTAAGTGGCTTTTTCTCACAAAGTAGAGGTTTCCTAAGGGTATGGAGCATGAGTCCCTATCAGTGGAAGTTTTTAAGTGAGGAGCCCACAGAAGAAATTGAGCTTCCTTGAGTCCAGTCATGCCTTTTGACTGCTTGCTAGTGTCTCTCCCCCTGCTTCCTAGAGTTTCTTGCTAAACCTATATTTGAGCTTGATCATTAAGTAGAAATGTAGATATAAAGTAATATTAAGCCAAAAGACAATCATACTAAGTACATGGTGAATATGTTGATGTTAAGCATATGAAAATGAGGAGAAAAAGATCAAGGGGAAAAATCGAATCAAAATAGCCAGAACTTGCTTTTCCTGTGGAAATGGTTAAGCACATGTTAAGACGGTCCTCTGTGTATTACGCCTCTGTGTATTATACCTGGAGGTTAACTAAGGGTAGGAATAAGTGAGAAGGAGAAGGAAGAAGGGAAGGAGGAGGAGGAAGAAGAGGAGGAGGGGGAAGGAAGAAGGGGAGGAAAAGGTGGAAGAGGAGGTAGAAGAAAAGGAGGAGGAAGAGGAGGAGGTGGTGATGACAACGACAATAAGAACAGAGTTAAAGGACTCATGTGGCTGGACAAGGTTAAGATGGAGAAAGAAGCACTATCACCCCACCCTCCCCACCCTTTGTTCAGGTCCCAGCTCTGTTCAGCCACAGTCACTGGCAGAGTTTCTTTGCTTGTATCACAGGGTGGGATTTCTACAAGCTGAAAAGTTTAAGAACAATTTATGTCTCCACAGAAAACTCCTTTTCTTAAAATTAGCTCTTATGTGATACAATAAATATTTTTTAAATTTTCTCTTCAATTAAAAGAATGTTGTCCTTAACACCCTCATAATCTTTCTTTTCCTGCCCCTATCCTTCCTTGGGCCTTTGCCCTGCTGTGCTCCAACCTAAAAAAAGAACCAGGTGGGCCTTGAGCCCATGCTCCCTCCCTCCAAAGAGTATCTGAGACTCATGTGAACAACTGTCCTTCCAGAGCCAAGCTGAGAAAAGCCTCTCTGTCTGCCCAGGTCTGTGCACAGCCCAGGAACTCAAACGTTGAGCAGGAGGCCACTGCTGTAAGCTGTTGGTCATTTTGCTTTTATAAAGGCTACTCATGATAGAAGCTTCTAATTTCAGAATACAGTAGAAAAATGAAGTGCTGACAAGGGATTTGTTTTTTAGATAGTTTTTTAAAAGAAAGTTACAGATGCAATTCACATTGATGTCAGTTTTTTTTATGAAAAATTATTCTTACTAATGACAACAACCAAAAATGAAGACACAAGTCCCGTAAGTTGTTTTCCTTTAAAGCCACTGCTCTGTCTGATAGGCATGCGCTGACGGCCTCCTCACTTCTCTCTTGCTTGCAACTCTTACACTTTTCTTTCTTCTCTCTTAAACTTTTTTACACAAATTTAGCACTTGGACTGGAACCCAGGACCATGTCCATGCTCTGTGTATGATTTGCTAATAAGCCAAGCCACAGTCCCCTTTATTCTTAGTTCCTGTGATAACTACAACTAATAAAGTACCCTGGTTCTCAAGATTCTAGGGAAAGTGGTTGAAATTGCTACAGTGGGATTTGCTTATTATCATACTAAATTTGAATGTAACTGGCTGGCCCATAATTCATTTCCTAACAGCTATGTACTGAATAAATAAATCATCTAACCCTTCCCAAGGCTCAGGGCTCACTGCGGAAGGGGCATGAAGACAGATTGTGGAAAGCAGAGAAGTGAAGGACAACAGTGAAGCAGTGTTTTCCAGACATGACAGGAAGCAGAAAGAAGGAACTCACAGAGCTGTGGCAGCATTCATGAGACCGGTATGAGAGTCAGCCAGACCAAATCCAATATGGAAGACATAGACGCTAACTCCCACTCCTAGCTAAGGAGCCACTGATGATTACTGGAAGAAGGCTACCCATCTTCCTAAAGCAGGCCCTATACCTAACCCCATACACATATATACACATTACACCATACACACACACACACACACACATATATAAATATACATATATATACATATATATATATATATATAGTATATACACCATATACCATACACATATAACATACACCATACAGCATATACCACACAGCATATACCATACACATATACC